ACTTAGCAGGGAAGTCTGGAACAAATACACACGTTCAGTTCCCTGCCTTGATGAAGGCAAAGAGCAAAGGAGGTCACCAAGAAGGGATAACTTGAGAGCAAGTGTGTCAAGCAGAATCCTGGGTAAATGTTAGACATTAGAGACACAGAGTCAGTCCTTAGTGAGCATAGAGAAAGATTTCACATTAGTGAGCAAGGGTTCTATGATTCGAGAGGGTGGGGCATATGGTCGAGAGAAGTGGGAGAGAAAAATGTATCCTGCTCCCATAAAAGACTACTACAGAACAGAAAAGACACTATGTGGACATTTCCGAACATCACCTTCCTACCTAGATATAAACTTCCAGTGCCTCAAGGCAGCAGGCTTCTCAGCAGATGCTTATGATATCACCCATATATTCTGGCAAAAGAAGAGTTGAGCTATGGGCACATGCATTCCATGAACTAGCTCATGGATTTTGTAGAAGCAAAGACCTAGGCTGCCGCATAATGTTGAAATGAGTTTTTGCAAAGCCTTGCTTCCGATGTCTAGAGAACCTAGGCTGTATTTCCCCGTTCCGGTTCACTATCTTATATGATTATGTCACTCTGTGTTTCTCCATTTAAAATAAGGCAAACTCAGCAGTTCCTTTTTCTTAAACTGCTTCGGTAACCAGCACTCGGCTATATTAAAAGCTTTAGCCGAAAGACTATAAAAATCGTCTAATACTCCCTAGCAGGTAACTACATTGGAGCCAATTCTCCTTTCGGGGATGTATTGCAAGGTCACGTGAAATGACCAGGGAAGGACAGACAGGCTGTGAGAGCTAGGAGAAAGGCAGCTGACATTCAAAGGGCAACAGTGCATTGTGCTGGGAACGTTTTGTGTAAATGTTAAATAGGGCCCGTATTTAACCACCTGCTTCTTGTTTAGAAGGGTTCAAATGAACAATTTCAAGCACAATTGAGTTACACTCAAAAGAAAATCAAGTGTAATTTCCTAAGTTGCTGAAGCAAGGGCTCTTCTATGGAACAGCCATTAGTAGTTCTAAATCTGATTTGGTTATATTTGAAATTTAATGCACACAGTTCAGTGGCACCTGGAAATTTCTTCATGCAGAAAGAGAATGACAAGGTAGACCTTTTACAATGGTATGCGTGCTTGCGGGTGCTTTTTAAAAATTGCCTGGGTCATAATTATTATGCTAAGTGATTAAAGAAGAAATATTTCATTTCTTTTTCTCCCTCTTGTGATACTATGTTGCATTGCTTGTGAGACACAGCAGGCTATCTTGAAATCCTTCACCAATGTGACAACCTCAATAAACATTTACCAAGGAGGGAGATAGGATACTGAAGAGTCTTCACATTACTTTGACAAGACTCTTAAGGTAATCCTTCCATCTGCTTTTACTACATGCTAACTCGATGCAACTAGTACTGCCTTAAATGCTAAACTCCATGCAACTAGTGCTGCCTTAAAACCTTCAGAAACTCTCTTAAGGACAGCATCAACATGAAGAGTCAGTCCTTATACATTGCAACCATTCATTCTGCAGGTTACTCAGGGCCATAAGTGGCATCTCTGCCTGTTTGGAGGATTTCCTATATGTTTTTTTTTTTCCCCTCACATTTGACTCATGCAAATATTTCCTGCCCTGGAAGCTTCAGCTTGTCAACTTCCTTGATTTTCTATCTGAGTTGACACATAGGTCCTATGTCTTCATTAACATTTAATGTTTGTACCTATATCAAGCATGTTTTTGATTCTGTTTAGGATAGCTCTATTTCTACCCTCTAAAGGGAGATTGCTTTCTATGTTCCTGCCTTGTCTTCTCAAATGCATCACTGTCTTGTTTTCTTGTTTTCTTGCCATTAAATATTTATTACCACTTCAAGCTTTTAGGAGTTATTTAATTTACTCTGAAAGTTCTTGAAAACCATTCTCTTTAAACAAATGTTTGCTCAGTATTTCTTGTGGGTGTTATATCATTTTCAGATTATATAATACACAGAACAATATATACTTTTCTGGGGTGGCTTTCTAACTGGCATGTACTTAATTCATCAGTCAGAATTGAAATATCACCAACAACGAATCTTACATTGCTGTATATTTAGCAACAATATCTGATAAAGATTTTTTTGACTGGGAGATGAAAGAAAATAATAATAAAATATTTTAATTACAGAAGTGATTATAATTATAATGTTGTTAGATATAGTAGTAACTATCAACCGTGGGGTCTGTGAAAAACCTCTCAGAGGAAACTATTGGAATTAAACAGACTTTAAGAAAACTACCCAATGCAAGCTTTAATAATTTTCAGAACACTTATTGCCCCTAGAAGTCAAGAAGCCCTTTTGGAAAATCTTACTTCCTGTCTAGGTTTAGGGTTCCCCAATGGCTAGAAATATATCCTAATTGGGGGGGGGGAGCATGTATCCAATTTCAAGTTTATACTCGAGATAAACTATTTCATTAGTATGAATCTCCACAAATTTTTGTTTAAAACTTAAGACACTGAAATTGAAAAATGATGGCCTGAGGAAGCAAAAGCCACCACTGGACTTCAGAAAGCAGCTCATTTGTGTTATCTCATATTCATCACAGCTGAAAGTAACTCAAGTAAATAACTTGCCTGTCTCTCCAGCCACAGGACACAGCTGGTGCTGAAACCAGTTCAGAACTGACTTAAGAATTGTTAATCGAAGCAATTTACCTAGCATGATGGACCCTATCTATTATCCCAGCACTTGAAGGGCCAGAGGATTGCTGTTACTTTTGGGACAACACAGTGAGTTCAGGGCCAACCTAAGATATATGGTGAAACCTTGAATCAAAAGTAATGTTTTTTTTCATTTTATTTTTTTTTTATGGAGAGTAAGTATATAAAAATATATTTGATAGTGAAAATGCTGGGGGCCAGGCCTGACTAGGGCTTTCCCTGAGGGCCTGATGTACAGAGGAGAAATGAGCTTCGCGAAGCTAGTCAAGGCCAGGGGCAGCAGGCCCTTGAAGAAGCTACAGTTTGGGAGCCCCAGAACTCATCTTCCCCTCGCCTCATTAAAGGCCTGTGTTTATCAGTCTCAAGGCCATCAGGGAGCTTTCATTCTGGGGAGCACTCGAAACATCCGGTGTTCCCTTCGAGGAGCAACACTGCTTGATCAGCTTCCCACTGACTCTGTCCGGCTGTGTTATCATTTCCGCCGACTCTGCTCTGTGTCCCCCCTGCAAACTGTATATAAGATCCTGCACTTCTTAATATACTTGCTAGACATAAGACACAGCTTGGGCAGGACCTCCTGACCGCAGCATGCCTGTCTCCATCTGTTTCCCTCCTCTCCTAGTCCTCCCTCTCAGGAGCATGCTGCACAAGAGCACCCTGCTGGTCCAGGTCAGTGAAAGTGCGTGTCTTCCAAGAAGCTCCACAGCTTCAGATTGACCACTCGAACAAGACCCAAGTTCATTAAGCTACATAGACTTGGGGTCTTGTTAATTTGGGTGTGCAGTTGTTTTTTGTTTGCTCTTTGTTTTTTAATGAGCAAGTTCTTCTTAATATGTAAATAAATAAAAATAAGAGTTGTTTTAAAATAAAAATTGCTTATGAATCTGTTTAGAACTAATTTAATACAAAATCACTGGGGTGCTTATTAACAAAGCTGTTTCCCCCGAAAGAAAACTAAAACGAAGTAAAAGAATTTCAGGACTTTTACCAAAAGTAAAACCAACATAGTGTTCTGCCTCTTTTACCAAGTCCCCAAAGCATCAAAATTGTGATATTGCTCCCAAATAATCATTAGTTAGGATAACATGTTCTCCAGGTTAATTACAAACAATTGGGGATGGTAGGTCTCATGGAGCAAACAATGCACTGCTCTTACGGTTTTAGAACTGTATCTTTGCCAGGCGTGGTGGCAACCTTCTTTAATCCCGGGGCTCAGGAGGCAGAAGCAGGCAGATCTCTGTGAGTTTGAGGACAGCCCATCTACAAAGTGACTTCTAGGACAAGCAGGGCTTCACAGGGAAATCTTGTCTCGAAAACCACACACACACACACACACACACACACACACACACACACACACACACCACAACTGTATCTTCAAATACCCTAATCCAGTAGTCAGGGAATTAGACCTCGTGAATCTAGATCCATCCATAGGTTGGAAAGTAAAGCCAACTAGTGCTAAATGCAATTTTTAAAAAAATGGGAAGGAAGGCCAAGTTCGGGGTGGATGGTGAGGGAAGCACATGAAAGGTGATACCCTGCCAAACACCTGTAAGTGCATACACATCTAGGGAAAGGACATTGCAGGCAAACACCTAGGACAGGTATATGCTTGAAAGTCCAAGAAACAGCAGGAAGCCAGAGTCTGGAGAAGAAGATGGGGACACCAGCAGTGAAGACAGAGTTTACTCTGTACGTTGGAAAGGCCTGTCAATGGCTTGAGTGGTTACGATTTTGAAGTATGATAGAAGCTTCTTTAGGCTTGAGAGCAGGTCAAGCTGGTAGTCCTTCAATAAATTATGTTTAAAATGCAAAATGGGCTAGGGAGACGGACGGGGGACTCAGCAGTTTAAGAGCACTGGCTGCTTTTCCAGGGGACCTGAGTTCAATTCCCACAACCCATATGGTGACTCACAACCATCTGAAAGTCCAGTCTCAGGGGATGCAATGCCCTTTTCTGGCCTCTGTGAACACTATATGTACTTTGTGCACATGTAGGCAAAATATGCACATAAAATTAAAAACTGGGAAAAATTAATGCAAAATATTGAAAAGATAAAACCCTTAAGAACATATTGTCCTAAATGTCATTCAGAAAAAAAAATGGCTTTAAATAAGTGTGTCTCTGGCTTTGAAATTGTGGAATTCTACATAACTTGGTGGAAAAGAAGGGAGGAAGGGAGGAGGAAATTCCAGGGCAACCAGAACTCAGTACTCAATCACCAGTACCCGGCCTGCACTCAGCATACAAATATAAACACAGTTGTGAAATGAAGTATGAGCACATGGATACCAACATATGACACATTTTCTTTTATTTAAAATAGAGTTCTTTATGCCTTACAGAAACAAGTGCAAGGAGTGCTTAATTTATTGTCTTTGCCACTTTACAAAACAATATGCTTTCTGAAAATGCATACATAAAAATATAACATTTAGGCAGAGAAGTATGTACACCTGGAGGCAGCAGGAAGTTATGCAGTAATATTAAAAAGCTTTAAAATAAATACTTTTATGACTTGCTGTTGGCAAAGTTAAACATTTTGGTATGAAGGCTATCACTGAGCTCTTACTAAATTCTAAAATATCATTATTTCTAAACAATATAAGTATATATTACTATAAAATGCATATGTTCACAGATTCGAAATTCATGAAACATCTGAATGTCATCCATGACTCCGTGGAACTCTGTTCAGCCTTCAACAATGAAAACACAGCTACACACTACAATTCCCATCTGCACATTTTGGATACAATTTATCATCCACTTCTTATTTTAAAGCCCAATTTATTTTTTCACAGTCCTTATATACATTCGTTTGAGCCCGTCTCTAGAAAGCGACAGCTTTTTACATACTTAGGAATATCAGCTACATTACAAAAAAGGTCTCAACAACAGTGGCTCTGTTCACAGTAGTTCAAGAGTTCAAGGCATGTTTTTGCAATGTCAAAATGCAATGGTTTTGACATGTGTGATATGTTCTTAGGTATAAGAGGAGTCACACTACCCAAAGAAAAGTATAATTAGTATTAGTGCTTTGAAAATCAATCCAAAATCCTTTTTTTAAAAAAAAAGATCTGAATCTAATTTTCTCTTTTTAGGCCATTTTAAAACCTGAAACCCCAATCAAGTGCAAATAATTTTATCCAGCCTAGGGTCAGGAGAGTACACGACTTGACATAAGCCATTTTAGAGATGAGCTGGAGTCTAATATTTTACTCAAATTTACCCTCATTTGATAAAGAGAGAAGAAAACTGTCAGATCCTTAAAAATGCTGTTACTATTTTGCCAATGAAAAACTGAGTATATTGATAAGTCTCTGTCTATGCTTGGCTTTCTTAGAGCCTGACATACAAGCCTACCTTTACAGGAAAAGCAAATAAATAGATTCATCCATGGAATGAAAACTCAATGGATAGCTAGAAATCAAGGTCCCCGTGCCTTGCTGCAGATGATTTGGGGTAGGGAAAGAAAAATCTATCAACAGGATAAACCTTCTGCCTCATCTGCTCTTGGGAATACTGAGATGAAGAAGAGTTAAAGTATTTAGTCCTCAAAATCATGTGTTCAGTTTGCGTATGTCAAGAACCATTTTTACATTTCACTCCAATTTCTTAATGATGGATAACCCAGGCATTTTATGTTGATACAGAAATGCATTGTGTCCTTTTCTGTGAGCTATAGAATTATGTCTAGAGGGAAGAGCCCATTGCCATGTTTACCACAGCCAGTCCTCAGCTAGCCTGTGCTGTGCATTCCCTGTGGAGAATTCACATATGAGATGCTGGAAAGGAGGTAAATGTCCTACCACACTCAGGCTCTTAGTGAATGTGTTAATAATCAGATTCCTAAAGCCCAGGATGGAAGTAAGTGTTCCAGTGGAAAGTGCTGAGTCCAGGAAGATACTTCTTGTGGTATAACATAGACCAACAAGGAGAAAATGCATTTCTGGCAGTATTAAAATGAGGATGAGCTGGAACTCATTTTTTTTCCACAAATGTTATGTTCATTTACAGCTAACTGGAGAAGGATTCTGGCAGTTCTCAATAACAAATTTTAAAGTGGAGATTGTTACCTAATTCCAGTATAATCTACATTCAAAAGAGCATAGCACATGGCTTAGTCTAAAAACTTGGCGGAAGCAGGGCTGGAGAGATGGCTTAGCAGCTAAGAACACTGGTTGCTCTTCCGGAAAACCAAGGCTTGGTTTCCAGCACCCATGTGGCAGCTCACAGCTACCTATAATTCTAGTTCCAGGGGCCTGACTCTTCCTTCTGGCCTCTCCAAGCACTGGGCATGCACATGGTGCGCGCGCGCACACACACACACACACACACACACAAACACAAACACAAACACACATCAATCCACCCATAACACATGAAAATAAATAAATAATTCTAAAAGGATGGCAGAAGTAAAACGATCCAGTGGCACCAATTACCACAGAAGTAACTCGAGCCCTCACATCAGAGGGACATGCATTTCACAGTCTGTTCAAGTCACTGCTCAAGTGGAATTCAGCCTTAAAGCAGGAGCAGGCATTCTTTATGCCTTAGCTAAAAGCTAGAAGACAACCAGACAGTCTGACTAAAGTTTAAGAGAAAGTCATGTCTGCCATTAACAAAGCCCTCTTCCCAGTGCCAAGAGAATAATCAGCAGTGAATTGATGAGGCGAAACCTCTTCTACACGGTGGGGAGATTAGAGCCTTGTTAAGAAGTTCAGTGTGTAACCATCTGGACAGTGCTCAAACACACAAAAGGACAGAGCTGTGGAGTGACTTGGGTTTTAGGAAACCTGTCCCTGGAAAAAAACCAATGCCAAAGACAAAGCTAAGGAGAGAAAGAGTGGATAGATGACGGCAAACACAGCCCCCAATTCATGCACCAAATCATCTTCCACCTTTTCCAAGACGAGCGAGATGACCACTGTGCGTAGGAAGGAAGCAGGGGAAGAGTCTGGAAGCTTCTGTAGTCATTACTCACACTGAGAATATTTTTTTCTGTTCCCTCCCTCCCTCCTTCTCTTCCTTCCTGTTCTTTCTTCCTCTTTTCAGCCCTGAGGACTCAACCCAGATCCTTGCGCATGCTAAGTAAGACCTCTGCCACAGACCTGCATCTCCAGCCTGCATTGAGAACCTCCACACACTCGTCACTCTTCAGTTGTATCTTCAGACTCCAGGGCTGGTCTACCAAGCCTGATGACTATTTTAAAATCCTTGTTTCTGCCTATTTTCATTTTTCCTGCTGACTTAGACATGAGCAAATTATTTTCATGGAAATGCTCAAGGAAGTAGGGTTTGACCATCAGCACTGAATGACACGTTATGTTAATATACAATTATATGTGTACACAGCAGGTTTAGATACATGCTGATTAACTTTTTAATTTGTAAAAGTTAGCAGGGCTGCAGAAGTGGATGTCACTACCACGTTTTACAATAATTAGCAACCATCCTATGCCTGATCTTCAGTTTCTTCATCTAAAAAATACTGGAATCAAGTTATGAATCTCAGAGTCACTTTAACTTTTTTAATTCTCATTTTCATTTTGCACTGTGGCACATATGAAATAATTCAGATCACTAAGGGATTTCTTTTCCATCACAAATGTAAAATTCTATGATGGTTAAGTTAAATAATAGCTATGCTTAAAAATAATTAAGAAGTAACTATAATTTTGGAAGATGGTGAAAGAACATTAAATTTAAAAGAAGGTGAAAAATAATGAAACAAAGAAAAGTTTAAGGGCAAAAAGAAAGCCAAGCACCTCAAAGTTTGCATTAGAATTCTTTGAAAAAAAAGTGTATGTTATAAATTCTGATTAATACTCCATTTTTAATGAATGTTTTGCATTCTAGAATTTTTTTTTGGTTCAGTTTTAAAGAATCCTGTAAAAAGGGAAAAAAAACCTAAAAGCCCTTAAAGCTCTCTTCACTGTGACTGTCACTATTTTCTTAGTGACAGTCTTCACTAAGATAGTGACTCAAATCCAAGTGAGTATCAACAGCTGGAACTAGAACACAGCATTGTTAGCTGTGAAGTATTACCTTTCACAAATAAAAAGAGATAATAGCTTCGAAAACTACAGTGACATCGTTTTAGGACACTAAGCGTCAACATTTCTAAGGAGTTGGTAAATGTCAGTTTTTAAAGTCATATAAAGGAAATGACTATTGAAGACCTCAGCTACCAATTTTGATACATTTGTTATTTTCCCCTAACTGCTTGATAGGAAATCAAAATTTCCACATTTTAAATGAATGTATTTAGCTATGGAAAATTTCATGTTTACTTTCAAGAATCAATCAAAAACTATTCCCTGTCATGTAATTTTAAGTTGTCCTCTTGGTCTTTGTATGATGGCAGATGCCCGCTCCTTGCCTTCAGGCAATGCATTAAGTAGTTCCCTGGGACTTTTGCTTAGATGCCAAGATTGCCCTGAGTTGGCTCTGCCCCAGTAAGTCACACGGTGGCAAAATTCCAGGACAGTAGACTTCTCTTTTGTTTAATCATTCTGCAACACTAGAAGCATTCGAAATGATAAGTTATTGTGAAACTTCTGATCTAATGAATGTATTGTAGATTTTTCATTTTAAAATAAAAGCTGATTTTAAATTCTTCAGACATTGCAATCAGGTTACTATTTTCATACAATTATGGAAATTTAAAATGCAAAGTTAATTGAAAGTATAAAGATGAAAAGCAAGTGCTAGGCTTAAAATAGAGCACGACAGTCATGTTTCACTTAACTCTCAAGGCAGAACATAAATTAAGAATTCTAGATGTGACATGCCAAATATTTTAGACACAGAAGAATGCATACAACAGAATTGGTACTGATTACAAACTTAAACGCACGACTTATAAGGCAACGAATTCATGCTCAAATGTCGACAACAAATAATGTGCCTCATATTTCAAGAAGTGATGCTGTGTATAAGTCCCATCATTTCTGCATACAGTACTAAAATTCATAATAGCATTCCTAAGCTCTATGCTATACCCAGAGCCAAAATATCCATAAGGCGCAAAACAATGATGTCACTGTGCACCTAGCCTAAGGAGATATTTTTGCTCACAACAATATTTAAAAGGAACAATTATTACATGACATTCCATTTAAAACATGTAGTATAAAATTGAACTGCATAGGTATGTACAGTAAATCTGCCTTATTCTCTAAATGTTACTCTATTTTTAATAAGTGAGCAGTTTCTATGTCTAACTGTGTTGAGAGTTAAGGAAAAACTATGAGTTCTACTGTTTCCCTTACACATTTGCTGCTCTGTCCTTTAAGATTATTTACTTAGGAATTAGAGTTCAGCAGCAAAAGAACAAACGAAATGTCTCAGAACACACCAATGTGCAGATTTCTCCACAGTGAAATCTGAATCAATAAAATATAAGTTACATTTGCATACTCTCAAATAAATTATAAAACATAATGACAAAAAATAAAGATGCTAAAACACCCTCTCTTAAAAATCTAGTAAGTATATTCACAAAGCAGTGGTAAATAGAACAGGATGTATTAAGTTTTTATTAAAGATTTGAATACAATCATCTAAGTCAATCATTTCATTTCCTTCATGCAGAAACTGTGTGAAATAAGGTAATAAACACAAGCCAGATCACCCCTTCACACAGTTCCTTTTAATATCCATTCACATAGGTGCACCTTTTCGATACTGATAATATAATTAGACTGTAATATCTAAATAAAGATCCTTTCTAAATGTGTTGCAAATTGGAAGTGATTTTTTTTCAGACCTATTCTAGAAAGCATTGTCACACAGAACTCAAGACATCCCACTGCATATTTTATCTGTCAATTTACTTTCTTCCCTCATACTCATATGCTTTTTCCCACTCCCAAATTAGACTTTAAAATCCCTGAGGGCAGGACCTATCTATCTTTTTATTCCCTCTTGTACCCAATATTGTGGCAAGTGAGTTATGGGGTGCTCTGTGCTTATAAATGGATGAATGCATGATTGAGAATGGAAATATAGGCAAACCCCATAGTCATCAAGGCATTTTGTTTCTCTTATCTCAGCCTAGTCAAATGAAATGAATCCCATATCATATTGCCACGGTGAAATGTACACATAAAGTTGTATTCTTGTGGAAAACTTAGGTGCATCCTTCACAACGGGACACCCCATGTTATACTGTGTAGAACACCTAAAAGCCGCAAAGTAAAATTTTGCCCTACCTGTAATGAAAAGACCGCACTATGCTTGATCAAATATTTGCCCTTTAAAATGTCCAGGTAATGTGTCTTTACTGCCAGGACCCTCAAAGGATGGGATGCGCTAGTGTTCAAGATCCTGTCAGAGAACACATCTAGGCAGAAGAATGTTCTGAGTAATGGAGCTTGGGAACACTGAAGGACATGCTAAATCACCTCTACTAAAGCAGTATAGTACATTGGAATGAAATATCAGGTGTCCTGTTAAATATTTCATACCTCAAAAAAGGAGAATAGAGGCAGACCCTCCAAAACTCTCTACTCACAGTTCTCTCAAAAGGCTAAGAATGTCTTCTGATAACCAATGTTGTCCTCTCTGTACCAGTCAGAGGTTAAACTCTTCTGGGAGAGTTCTCTTAGTTTTTCTCAAAATCTTTCCTTGTTTATCTTCTTGTCATTTTATTTCTAAATATGTACCCCCAAAGTAATTACATCTTAAGATATACATCTCTAGACAATATATGTTTATACTTGGTCAGTCTTTGGCAATGTTCAGAAAACATTTTTCTCATTAAAGAATGGGATAATGATGACATTTTTTTTTATGAGGAAATGATAGTAGATTGGTTTTGAGATTCTAGCAAGCCCGTTCTGGTCTTACAAAATACTCGATATAGTGTCTCTATGACTAAATTAAAAGTATCATGACTGAAGATGCTCCCTCCCGCTTAGGGAGAAAAGAACTGTGGGACCTGAAGGGAATGTGGAGGGCCAGCCGACTTCACAGTGTTTGATGTCACAGGCGTTGTCACCATCTCTGGCATGAGCTCCGTGACTCTGAAACAGTTCACAGTGTTCAAGACGTCAGGGACTTCTTTATGATATCACAAGCAGCAGCTCAGGTGGCTTTCTAACTACTTTGGGAATGCTGTCATGGTAATGAAGAAAGTGGCCAGCAGGGAGGAGAGCGCATGCGCGGAGAGAATCACCTTGCTCTCAGAACCCACTGATGATCTCCACCATTTCAGGCTTTCGATATTAACATTCTGAGCAAACGTTACTTTTCAAGGGTCCAGATAGCTTCTAAAGTTCTTTTTTCCTATAATATGCCCTAGTTCACATTTTTCGTATATTTTCATCGCGTTTGTGTGTGCTCCTGGTTCAAGTAAAACAACAATTTGTTTTGTTTTGTTTTACTATCTTATGTAGCTTATTTTATATTCATAACATCTTCCTCCTTAAATAAAAAAAATGAGTTGTGTCACTTTTAAAAATAAAATTAATGACAACATGGAGATTGGAAAAGTCAAGACCTGCCCATGCTTAACTTTAGAGTTATCTTTTCATGCTGCCTTTGAGACACCTAAACACTGTCATGAATCATCATTGAGGTAGAACTAAAACAAAACATGGCAAAAAGAAGCAAAAACATTTACACAAAGCAGGAGACACAAAAGGATGCTGTAGCCAGTTTCCTTTTGTCTTCTGTGGTGCTAGACTTTGCAATCTTCCTTGACACATAGCTGAGAAATGGTCTTCTTCACGCGTAGGGCTGTCAGACGGGCTGCCCCATTGGCATACCAGCACTCACGCATGATTCTTCCCATGACCCGGAGTGCCTTCAGGAGAGAAAGACACCAAAGGGTTAAAGGTGTGCACACAACAGAGTGCAAAAGAAGAAGCAAAATCATGAATTGGGGGTGATTGAGGAAACTGGGCTAAACTTCTGTAAAATCTTTTTAAAAAGCACAAACATCAAGCTTGTAAAGACGAGCTTAAATGAAATCATTGATTCTGAGACATAATGATGGTAACGTCCAAACTCTTCGAAGAAGAGCAATGATCGCTAAGCACTGTGGTGCAAGCTCACAGTACAAGTACTTGGGAGGTAGAGACAGAAGCAGCAGGAATTCAAGGCCAGGCCAGCTAGATGAGGCCCTGTCTCAAACCAAACAGCTAAAAAGTGGCATGAGCCATGGAAGGGTTTGGCAATGGTATGAATTCCCAGTTACATTTCATCAGATGTGCACACACATGAAAAAAGTCATCAATCTGAAAACTAAGACTTCCACTTTTACCATTCATAATTACATGTTGCAACTGATGATCTTAGAATAAATATAAAAAGTCAGTATGAATGAACTGGCAAAGAAAGAAGGCAGATACTGTGGTGGTTTGAATAGGAATGGCCCCATGTACTCATGTGCTTGAATGCTTGGCCTATAGAGAGTGGCACTATTAGGAGGTATGGCATGTTGGAGTAGGAGTGACCTTGTTGGAGGAAGTGTGTCATTGTGGGAATGGGCTTTGAGGTCTCATATTTGCTCAAATTACCCCCAGTGTGGGATATAGTTCATTCACTTCCTGTTGCCTGAAGATCCAAGATGTAGAACTCTAAGCTCCTTCTCCAGTACCATGTCTGCCTGCACGCTGTCATGGACATTGATAATGTCCATAATAATGGACTAAACAGCTGAAACTGTAAGTCAGCCCCAGTTAAATGTTTTCCTTTATAAGAATTGCCCAGGTCGCCGGGCGGTGGTGGCGCACGCCTTTAATCCCAGCACTCGGGAGGCAGAGCCAGGCGGATCTCTGTGAGTTCGAGGCCAGCCTGGGCTACCAAGTGA